ATACTTTGTATCATTTCATATATTATATAATTTGCTTACTTAATGGGTTTATTGTTTACTTTATGTCTCTTTCCAATAGAATCCAACTCTCTGAATGTAGGGATTTTCATCTGTTTTATTTACAAATGTATCTGAGGCATCTAGAACAGTCTAGTACCTGGTAAGCACCCAATAAATAATTGCTGAATGAATGAAAATCTGCTGCCTGGGAGCTCTGAGGCTGTTTCCCAGGCAATTCTTATAGTTATACCTGAGGACACCCTCTGAGGCTCTGTTTGCACTTTGTCATTCTAATGGGTCAGAGGCATGTCTGATCACACAAAAAATAACAACACCCAATATAATAATGGAAGGAGATATTCTTTTCCATTGGCTGATGTGCTCAGACACATTTCAACCCTCCTGCCTTAGGGAGAGTTTACTATATATGAACTTCTTCTGGAGATGGGTGAAGACTTTATATCTTTGCTTTTGTAAGCCATACTGTTTTTATTCCTGACCTTGTTCACAGATTATCATAAGCCATAAACTCTTGTAGACCTTTCTCACTAAGCTGGAAACCTTCTTCAACACCACAGGAATGATGCTCCTGAGATCTGGATGCTGAATAGAATTTCTATAAGTTCTGGAAAATGTGTTGGGGTAAGTGATTAGGAAAACTTACAGCAGGATTGTTAAAAATCCAAGCCTGGTAGGATTTTCTCCTACAAAGGAATTGCTACAGTTCTGTCCACTAACCTGAAATAACAAAACAAGTCACCGGGAGATGCGTGTGCATGAGGGCCCTGAACCTTCTTGGAGTGAACTCCTCTTCTCCTGTCTATCATACATTTATATATTAAATTCAAGTACATATTTCTTCTCTCAAGAACTGTTCCTTTACAAAGCCTGTCTATGAAGCCTACAAAAACAACTAATCTTCTTAGGTTCTTTGCAAATTCTATTGGCTTCCTTTCTTAATAGCAAAAACAAACAGACAAAAAAAAAAAACCCCAAAAAACAAAAATAAAATCTTGGGCCCTTCTACTAAATGAGAGGAGTCATGGTACTCTGCTAGGTCAAATTTACACACACACACACACAGATACATAAACATATACACATACACACATACACACGCACACATTTTTCTCTAAAAAAATATACCCTTTCTTAATTTTCCCTAGAAGGGGAAAAAATGGCTTTTGACACACCATTTAACTTTTTACTGGGTTCCCTTTTATATTTCTTCCTTAAAAATGCCTTTTTCTTCCATTCTTCTAGTCTGAATTCCAATTTCTGTCATGTCTCTACCTGTAGTGTGGTAAGACTATGATGCACTCACAGCACATTGTGAGTAGTAACAAGCCGAAAACTAGGGGTCACGTCCAGGTTCAGATGCTGTTGTGGGAGAGGAAAATATTAATATAGAGAGGTAAAAGTAGAGTAAGGGGGAAGGCAAAGCTGGAGCTGGAGTTTTGGAAGAAGCTATTGACTGCTCAGAAGTCCAAGCAGGCTGAATTTGCCAGAACTTCTTAATATCAAATTTCTCTGTGTCTTAAATCCCGATTCTCCTGAGTTCTTTGTTGTGTAGTAATGAATAGTTTCCTATCTACTTTAGTACTAAAAAAATGGCTTTTCTGATATTCCGGGAAACTGAAGCAGTATTATTTCTAATTTTAGATTTCCCCTCAGTTCTCAAGGCCTCAAACACAATATCCTCTAATGACATTGTCTTTGGGGTGACCCCAAATTATCATTTATTTCTTACTTATGAGCAGAGACTTTGTAGCTTTTACTTGCCTTGTCTCTTTTAATACCCACAGCCACCGCCTGGGAGCGGAGGAGGGAATGTGCATAAGGGATCACGTTTCCACAGTTTGCCATTTATTTCCACTTAAGCTGATTACAGGTTGTGTTTCCTGTTTTATTACTCCACAACATCTCTTTAGCTCTGCTTCAGTGGTAAATCCCTCTGATGTGCCAGTCTTTCTCCCTCAACTGGATTCAATCTGAAAAGTAACTTAATAAAATCCTAAATATAGACTTCCTCCCCCTTGGGGTCAAACTAGAACTCCACTAAGGAAGGAACTCCTACAAACAAAGAAGCAGGAGTAGCCTTTCTTGAGCTGGCTTGACATTATTGATTCTGTGTGGGTGCTGGCATCCCAGTCATCTCAAAGAGGAGATTTTGTTAATGAAACAACCTGAAGAGGCGAACTGTCTTTTGAGAACATAAGCCAGAGATAGATGCCCTGGGAATGTGAGTGCTATGGCACTGTCTAGGTGAAAGGAAATGCCTACTTCCACACTCCAACAGCACAGTGCACCTCGTGCTTTGCTGTGCAATGGGAGGGGGTGGTTGACCTAGAGGCTTTGATTCAGTCCCACATCACAATTTCCCTCTAGAATCTTCTTATTTAATAACCACTGACCCTGTCATAATAGGTCTCTGGGGAATATGCCAATTCTCTTTCAACGTTCTGGCCAAAGAGTGGACAAAAATCCCTTCTCTTGACTTCCCAAGAACAGGCTGGGACTCTCAAGAGATTTTACTAAATGGCAATGAAAAACAAACAAATTAAAGAAATTATTAAAAAATATAAAAGTCACGGAGGGTACAATAGCTACTTAGGAATGAGGAATACAAAGTATTATGAAAAGTCTGAAAAATCTACAATTATTTGTGGCTGATTTCTAGGAAATTTCTCCTTCTAAGAATAGCTTTCTCTGACTACCCAGAAGGTTTAAGTCCCTGCCACAGAGAGTCCCCAGAAGTCACTCAGGATGTGGTCTTGGTGATTGGGCAGGATATACTGCTATAAAGTGCTGAGAAAAGTTCTAGGAAAAGTGCTGTACTCTGTGGTTCATGCCTATATATAACTCCAGCTCTTAAGAAGGCAGAGGCAGGAGGATAGTTTGAGTCCAGGAGTTCAAGACCTGCCTGGGCAATATAGCGAGACCTCATTCTCAAAACAACAACAACAACAAAGTTTTAAGAAAAGTTTAAACATATGTGTGTATTTTAAAGGCTGCCTTAGGTACAAAATCATTGTCCTGAAATTTTACAGTTGGACTGAGGTGGGGTATAGTATATCTCTTGGATGAGCAGAGTATAGATGACCTGAGAACAGTTTTCTGCTTCCATTGCAACTGCATATGTGAGCATAACATTCTTTTGCCTGTGTAGTAATGAAGTGTACATTTAATGTTCAGTGTGTGGGTATTTCCCTTGGAATCTCTGCTCCGGGAAACATTCTTCTTTAGACACTGGGAATGACCACCCTTTTCAGGTAAAATACCACCATCTAAATACAGGGGTATCACTGTCTTCTCATAGGCCCATCCATAAAAGACTGGCATAAAGATAGTAATTAAATTATTTAAACTATCAGAAAATATCACATTTTCTGATATTTTTGTTAGTGTCTATTATAAGTACTTTATACAATTAATTTACCTGACATTATTTAACCTTCAAAACAACTCTATAAGGCAGTTTCTATTTTATTTTATTAAGTTTATAAAAATAATAAATTTTATTTATTTAATAAATAAAATCCTCATTTTATTTTTTATTAATTTTATAGAGATGAGATCTCACTCTGTTACCCCAGAAGGTCTTGAACTGTCTCTATTATCTTCTAATCTTGACATTTCTCCTTATATATTACAATACTGCAATGAATACTCTTGTTGATTTTTTTTCACATTTAAGTGCTTCTATTGGATATATTTTTTGAAATGGAATTATTAGGTGACAGACTTACAAATTTCAAATTTTTAATAAATAGTGTCTAAATCCCCTTCAAAAGTGTTCGCCAATTTATAACCCTATTATTTGTGTTCCATTTTTGAAATATATAAATGTGTGTGTAAATCAACTGCTCTGCATGGGCAGTTCCTCACAATTTCTGTAATGGAAAACATAGAGGGAAAACCACTTACAGTTTCTGGGGGAGAAAAGGTTTCAGCTTCAAGGAAAGAGACTTTCAGTAGGAGAAACTATTGTGAAAAACAAGGTAATTTTCTTTTTCTTTTTTGTTTTGAGACGGAGTCTCACTCTGTTGCCCAGGCTGGAGTGCAATGGTGCGATCTTGGCTCACCGCAACCTCTGCCTCCCAGGTTCAGGCGATTCTCCTGCCTCAATCTCCTGAGTAGTTGGGATTACAGGTGCCCACCACCACACCCAGCTAATTTTTGTATTTTTAACAGAGACGGGGTTTCGCCACGTTGGTCAGGCTAGTCTCAAACTCCTGATCTCAGGTGATCCTCCAACTTTGGCCTCCCAAAGTGCTGGGATTAGAGGTCTGAGCCACTGTGCCTGGCCAACAAGGTGATTTTCTACTTTGGGTAAAAATAGCTGGACATTATCTTCTTCTCAGGCTCTGGCACCCACTTCTCCAGCAGGCTGCATTGCTGGTCGTTTTTGGCTCCTGTTGGAAGCAAACTGCTCTAATGCCTTTTGGATGAGATTTTTTTTTTTTTTTTTTTTTTTTTTGAGACGAAGTTTCACTCTTGTTACCCAGGCTGGAGTGCAATGGCGCGATCTCGGCTCACCGCAACCTCCGCCTCCTGGGTTCAGGCAATTCTCCTGCCTCAGCCTCCTGAGTAGCTGGGATTACAGGCACGCACCGCTATGCCCAGCTAATTTTTTGTATCTTTAGTAGAGACGGGGTTTCACCATGTTGACCAGGATGGTCTCGATCTCTTGACCTCGTGATCCACCCGCCACGGCCTCCCAAAGTGCTGGGATTACAGGCATGAGCCACCGCGCCCAGCCTGGATGAGATTTTGACCAGGAATTACCTCAAACAAAAAAAGAATACTCTAACAAGAAGTATACTGGCCAGCACAACAGCAACCCCTTCCCGGAGTTTTCACAAGGACGCAAGGGGGTACATAATACATTTATCTGTAAAGCCGACTCAACTCCTACCTGGAATTGTTCCTGATTGGTTAGCAGAAACAGAATTGAGGACTGATGACAGTTGCACAAGAAGATGAAACCATTTCCTTCCTCTTTTCTAAGCTCTTCTCTTAAACCCCACTAGACTTTGGCACAGTGAGGGATGACTATGGAGACCCAAATGTCTCAGAACGTATGTCCTGGCAACCTGTGGCTGCTTCAACTACTGACGGTTTTGCTGCTGCTGGGTGAGTGAGGGTCATTCCGAAGTAGGGCAATTTCAGCCACTCCTACTGCCGGGACTCCACGCGTCAGTGTGGTAAGGAGCAGGCCTGAGCCCTGGAAGCAGACAATAGATTGAAAGAGGAGAAAGAACCCTGAATTCTTAAGTATTCCAGTGGTTCCTAAGGTCAGAACTCAGAGCTAGTTTCATAGTACCTGGGAAGTCCATTCTGCACCAAACATTCATGTGTACGGTGTAGCCATGAGGAGGGACAGGGAATGAGATAAGGGGGACATGTGAAGTGAATACTCATATAAGAGAATAACTGAAGACAGGACCTTGAGATGGGTTCTGGAGAAGGAGGAGTCTAAGCTCACCTCCCGGCCCCATTCACATATGCCGCTAAATTTGCAGCCATCTTCTGCTCAGTGTTGACCCACTGCCTTCTGTTTTACAGCTTCTGCAGACAGTCAAGCTGGTGAGTATGCTCTTTGCGTCCCTGTATTGACAGTGTTATTTCCTCATAATATGATGCTGTGTTTACTCTGGGGGGGATATGCCTGTGCCACTGAGAATCAGGCTTGGGTTCAGCATGGGCAGTTCCCCTATGTTAGCGGTCTGGGATTTGCTTCTTAGATCCACTGAAGACCCAAGGGAACGAGGCTGCTCCAAGTACAGATCTTGAACTGAGTCTACAGTAGGATTCTTTGGTGCCTAACCTCCCTTGGGAGTTCCTTTGGCATCCACAGTACCTTCAGGGTTATTTATTTACATCCCTTTCCACTCTCTGCCTCTCAGCCGCTCCCCCGAAGGCTGTGCTGAAGCTCGAGCCCCCCTGGATCAACGTGCTCCAGGAGGACTCGGTGACTCTGACGTGCCAGGGGGCTGACAGCCCTGAGAGCGACTCCACTCAGTGGTTCCACAATGGGAATCTCATCCCCACCCAAATGCAGCCCAGCTATACCTTCAAGGCCAACAACAATGACAGCGGGGAATACAGGTGCCAGACCGGCCGGACCAGCCTCAGCGATCCCGTGCATCTGACTGTGCTTTCCGGTCAGTGGAGGAAGGTCCTGGGGTGGACCTGGGAGGGCCAGGACGGTTGAAATCTGTTTACAGGTAGAGGTTTACAGGAAAGGGGGGTAGCTTGCTTACTGGAAGCCACTGTTTCCAGTTAGTCTCTTATACGAGTATTCACTTCACATGTCCCCCTTATCTCATCAACTGGGAAGCACTGTTGATCTCATCCATTCCCCATTTCACCCACCCACTTTGCTCAGCATGTGTGGTGGGGGAGGGAGGAACTGCTGGTAATTTCCTCAGTATATGTTAGGTTGTTTTTGCCTCAGTCTTGATTGAGCAAGAGGGTTACAAGGCCACAGACAGCTGAGTGTGAGAGAAGCAGAAGGAAATCCCTACTTTAAAAAAAACGACCTTTCGCCTGAGGCTGTGTGGTAAAGCAGAGAGGTTGGAAGGACTAGACCTGTAAAGGCCCTAAGGCGGAAGGCTGCCAGACAGGTGTGAGGAGGTTGGAGTGCAGAATTCAGCCTGGAAGATGAAGTCAGGGGTGAGGAGAGGGTGAGGGGAGGTCAAGCAGAGGCTGGTAGGCTGCTGCAATTATTTTGACTTTTATTCCTAAGTTGAGATGGCTTTAATTAAAGGAGTAACATAATCTGATTTAGGTTTATGTCAATATTTGACAGTGTTCAGTTAAAAAGACTGTAGACAAAATGCTCCCAGAACATAATATTCTTTCTTTCTTTTCCCTCAAGTGGCTGGGACTTCAGGTGCACACCACCCGCCATGCCCAGCTAATTATTTTTATTTCTTTTTATAGAGACAGGGTTTCACTATGTTGCCCAGGCTGGTCTTGAGCTCCTGGCCTCAAGTGATCTTCCCTCTTCAGTCTCTCAAAGTGCTGGAATTATAGGCGTGAGCCACCAAGCCTGGCTTCGATACTCTTTCTACCTGCTTCCAGTGTCTGAAAATACAAGCACATTTCTATCGTTTTTACTTGAGCTGCACTCTTGGTGCATAAACCCCAGCGATGGTCACAGGTAAACGTTCAGTGTTTTTGATTCTCCTGTTCACAGATAAGGTGATGTTTTGTGGTCCTTAAGGCTGCTGCTGTAGCAGAGAGATCCTGGCAATGGATTCATTTTCTGTTGATGAAGCGGAATAAACATTGAGTCAACCTCAGAAGCTGCCCATGACATCATAGTTCCTCTCTGTATTGGCTTCCCAGAAACAGCTGATAGTACTTCTAACCCTTCCTATGAAAATGAAAAAAATATAGATAATAAAAATTGAGGGCTGGGTGCAGTGGTTCACACCTGTAATCCCAGCACTTTGGGAGGCTGAGGTGGGTGGATTACCTGAGGTCAGGAGTTCAAGACCAGCCTGACCCCACATGGAGAAATCTTGTCTCTACTAAAAATACAAATTATCCTGGTGTGGTGGCACATGCCTCTAATCCCAGCTGCTCAGGAGGCTGAGGCAGGAGAATCCCTTGAACCTGGGAGGCAGAGGTTGCAGTGAGCTGAAATCGCACCATCGCACTCCAGCATGGGCAAAAAAGCAAAACTCTGTTTAAAAAAAAAAAAAAAAAAAAAAAAAAAAAAATTGAGATCTGAAGTGTTCTTACAGAGAAACTACCTGGTCCCACCCATCCATTGTACAAAGAAATGAAGCTGATTAGACCCAAGAGCACAGCCAAAATCCCAATCCTTCCTTTAGTTTCTATTTTATGCCATCTCAATAACGGTACCTGGCCTTTCATATATAGAATACTGTTTTCTTAAATAAATTTTTATTTAAATAAGATAGAATAAATTATATGTATTTCTATGATAGAGCAATTTGATTTTGTTCTTAATTAGGTTTATTGAAACTTTGTTAATAGATTTGTCTTCTGAGGTAGCTGAATTTTGGAATCTGATTACTCTGCCATCAATGAAGGGAAGGAATTACTGGGAGTGAGGATGTTTGTAGGCAAAAAGGAAAAAGTGATTTTAAGTTTAAATTTTTTCTTGAATTCCTTTTATTCAGAGTCACAACTGAATGTTGAATTCACCTGTGTGAATTCAAAAGTCATACCTTTTCATTTCTTATGTGGATGGAAGATTGAGAGTGTGGTATGGTCTGAATGTTTCTGTGTCCCCAAAATTCATATGATGTGAATTAATCAAATAGCAACCCCTAGGATGATGGTATTAGGAGGTGAGGCCTTTGGGTAGGTGATTAGGTCATGAGGCAGAGCCCTTGTGAATGGGATTAGTGCCTTTATAAAAGTGGGCCAAGGGAGCTCAAAGGCCTTTTCTACCATGTGAGGACACAGCAAGAAGCCTCAGTTCTGTGAACCAAGAAGTAGGCTCTTACCAAAGAAGCTGTAAGTACCTGATCTCGGACTTCTCAGCCTCCAGAACAGGGTGAAATAAATTTCTGCTGTTTATAAACCACCCAGTGTATAGTATTTTGTTATGGCAGCCTAAGACAGACTAAGACAGGGCGGGTGAGGTATGATTAAGGGTCTTTTTTTTAAAAAAAAAAAACCAGCAACAAATGCTGGGTGTGGTGGCTCAAGCCTGTAACCCCAGCACTTTGGGAGGCCAGGGCTGGTGGATCACGAGGTCGAGAGATCGAGGCCATCCTGGTCAACATGGTGAAACCCCGTCTCTACTAAAAATACAAAATATTAGCTGGACATGGTGGCGCATGCCTTTAATCCCAGCTGCTCAGGAGGCTGAGGCAGGAGAATTGCCTGAACCCAGGAGGCAGAGGTTGCGGTGAGCCGAGATCGCGCCATTGCACTCCAGCCTGGGTAACAAGAGTGAAACTCCGTCTCAAAAAAAAAAAACAAAAAACAAAACCCAGCAACAATATGTGGAAAAAAGAGGGAAAAAGAGGCTCTATTTTATTGCAAATACAGTTGGTGGCTGCCCACCCTCACTTCCCAAAGCTTGTACAAAATTTATCATTAAATTAGTAATCCCCAGACCACAAAAACTGGGGATGGCTTCAGGTCCTGTTTAGTAACCTCTGTAGTTACTGAAATGCACTCATTTATCTGCTCAAACATGGTATTTTAAATTCCTCAGAATTGTTTTAAATATCTGTTCTACATCTTTGAAACTTCTGAAAACTTCTGTGTTTTAGAGGACCCATAGATATAAATAGCATATATTGCCTCTAGGAGAATGCTCACATCTGTCGTGAAGCATCTTCGTGTCTCACTGCCAGACATCATGTCAAGTTCTGTGAGTAGTGTACCTCTGAGAATGAGACTGAAAAACCCTTGAAGTCTAACCTTACAACATTTTCTTCTCGTATTTGTGTCTTTCAGAGTGGTTGGCGATCCAGACCCCTAGGCTGGAGTTCCACGAGGGAGAAACCATCATGCTGAGGTGCCACAGCTGGAAAGACAAGCCTCTGGTCAAAGTTAAATTCTTCCAGAATGGAAAATCCAAGAAATTTTCCCATTTGGACACAAGCTTCGCCATCCCACAAGCAAACCACAGTCACAGTGGTGATTACCACTGCACAGGAAACATAGGCCACACGCCGCACTCTTCCAAGCCTGTGACCATCACTGTCCAAGGTATGGGGAGTCTGCCAAGATGTAGGGAGAGAGAGGAGGGGCTGGACAAGGGCTAAGGTCACATGGGCCTACATGGAGACCTGACAAAGGCCACAGCAGCAAAATTGGGTCCTGGAGCAAAGAGGAGAGTTGTGGAGACTCGGCTAAGTATTGGCCAATGAGCGGGAGTAAGGGCCGGAGCTTGGAGCCCTCAGGTTTCAAGTAATAGGTGGCCAGGCTGTTGTTCCACTTTGAAATGCAGGCCCCAGACTAAAGATGGCAGCGGAGCAGAGTTCCCTCATTGATGCAGAGGGTCCCTAAGCTCCTGGGCATTCTTAAGAGCTGAGGTTCCCCTCGTTTCTCCTCATGACTCATGGTATAGCCATTCGCTCCAGAAGGCCTGGCATGTCATGGACTGTTCAGGGCTGTGCTCCATAGAGTAATGATCCCTCCAGCTATGGGAAGCTATGGGGCCACCCTCCCCCACTGCCCCGGAGGGCTAAGGGGAACTCTTCTCTCTGCTCCTGCATGCTCACCAGCGCACTTTTATTAGTTTGGTGGAGAAACCTGGGTAGGGAGGAAGCACAAGTCCAGCCACAGAAACCCTGTGCAGGTGCAGCTCAGGATGTGGTGAGTCTTGCATTGGTGAGTGACTCAGACACAGAAGAGCTTTGAGTGACAAGCACTGGGACATAGCACTGGAGGAGGGGGGAGATGGGACAAGGAGAGTGCTACCCGTCCTGAGTTCTGTCTTCCCTAGTGCCCAGAGTGAGCAGCTCTTCGCGGATGGGGATCATTGTGGCCGTGGTCACTGGGATTGCTGTAGTGGCCATTATTGCTACTGTAGTGGCCTTGATCTACTGCAGGAAAAAGCGGATTTCGGGTTAGTAGCTCCTCCTGGTCCCTTTTGTTATCAGTTTCCACTTGGCCCAGGCCCTAAACCCAGACATTGCCAGAAGATCTGGAAAAAAAAAAAAAAAAAAAAAAAAAAAAAAAGTCCAAGCAACTGGATTAGCCACCTTGCTGTGTGGTTCTGTCTACACTGGTGTAAGCACATTTCACAAGGCATTTATGCAGCTGGGCACTAGGGCTGCACAAATGATTTTTTAAAAATTGTTTCCCAAAAGGCAAGCTGGGTTGCTGGGATTGTTGGGGACTGTATTAGAATGGGAATTCAGAATATGGTTTGCTGTAGAATTTGGAGCATGGCAGTAAAGACTCTGTGTTCAAGGGGTGAAAGAAGAGACTAGATGCATTGTCTCAGACTCCTCCCAACTGCCTGAGAAATGTGGCTTTCAGACACTGAGGCTGCTTTTCACACTGGCTAAGTCAGTTCACGGCAAAATCATGAGGCAATTAGATGTGTTTTGAACACTAACCAGAGAAAGCTCTTCCTTCCCTCCTTCCTTCCCTCCCCCCCCTTCCTTCCTTCCTTTCTTCTTTCCTTGAGGCAATTAGGTATGTTTTGAACACTAACCAGAGAAAGCCTTTTCCTTCCTTCCTTTCTCCGTCCCTCCCTCCCTCTTTTTCTTTCTCACTCTCATTCTGTCTTCCTTTTTAATGTCATGGAATAGCATATTCTTCAAAGTTCCAACAAAGATGCACTAAATTTGAACAATGTGGAAATGGCCCTCATCCTTTTCTCCCTGATATGCTCAGCAAAAATCTGGACTTTCCTTCACTCTGATGCCGAACACCCCTCCCCTACCTCTTCCCCAATATCTCAGATCCCCAAGCTGCCTGGTTTGCTTCTAGGAAAACTCAGAGCAATTCCCTGAAAAGAATGTGGCCCAAGTGACTGCTTCCCTCTGCCAGTGTGGCCCGTGGGGAAGGCTGTGGCTGGGCGACCCCAAGGGTGGGTACATGAAGCCATATTTACTTAGCCCTTGGCCTTACAGGACTGTGTCAAGGGGTCAGCAGTCCTTGCCTTGAGTCTAGTTATGGTTTTGCAGCCTCAGCATCAGCATGGGCAGGCCCTTGCGGTGCCCTGGATAATCTTTTTCTTTTCCCCCACAGCCAGTTCCACTGATCCTGTGAAGGCTGCCCAATTTGAGGTGAGTAATCCCAGCCACCTCCTTTTCCTCCCCACCCCATCCCTTCTCCCCTGTTTCCTCACCTTCTGCCTTTGTTAATGCAAAATTAAAATGGAGACTGGGCCTGAAAACTCCTGAGCAAACAAAACCACCCAGGCCTTAGAAATAGCCTTATCTTTGCTTAAACTGCAAACGCAAGTGAAATTCAAGTTGGATTTTAACCGAAAATAGGTAATACTTAGATTTATTTTTTGAAAAACAAACAAACAAACAAACAACTTTAATTTTTGGTAAAAATGGAAAATGAAAATATTTTTCACCAGAATAAAACAATTATATTTTAGTAGAAAACTATTGTGCACTCATTGTCGAATTCTAGGCCTGTTCATTTTCTTTGAGGTTTTATTATCTCCCTATAAACTGGATTGACTCCTGAATTTTTTTTCAATTAAAAACTAAAACTGCCCTTTTCCAAAGCTCTGCAAACTGAAACGGGTGTCTGTAAGCTTCAGAAAAGTCACAACAACAGAGCACGTAAGGACAATCTCAATGCCTGCTGCTATATGAGTCACTGAGAAAGTTTACCAGAATATTTAATGATATAACCAGAGACATTCAAATTGCAAACCAGAAAATCACATCACATTGCAACTGCCATCTTCAGTACACCATTTAAACTTGCTTCAAACTTGCACCTAGAAATTGTTTCACCTAGCTGCCCTCTAAACTCAAAAACTAAGATCATAATTTGCTCCAAATATTAACTTCAGTTTTTTAATAGACTAATACCCTGAATTCCTCTGAAGCAATACAATAGAAAATGAGCCAAGTTAGCCTCAACAACACACTAAAATAGAAGTTCTTGATACCTTCGCAGCTTAACAAGGAGGAGCTTGTGTTCCCACTGATGTCAAAAGAAATACTTAAAAATCTCAATTGGCTTTATGGTGATTCTAGGACTGGGCAACACTTGCCTCCTTAAATTAGAAAAAGGTTTCCAGTGAGTTACAGCAGAGGAGGTTGGCTTCAAAGACAGAAAAAGGTCTGAAGAAAGCAGAAACAAAGAATTTAAAGTGGATTGGCTATTTTAAAGTTGGTTAAAGTTGCAAAAGAGAGGAATAGGGAAACAGAATAATAAATAACTAGTTGATTAACATCAGGTTAGTTTTTTGTAAGAATTAAAACATGCCAATTGAAATCGGCCTGTTTGGGAAATTAGGTTGTTATCTCTCTCTCTCCTGATTTTTCTAAAGGCCAGATAACAATATAATTTCTGTTTGGTGACTTAAAACTTTAGCATGGGTGATTCTATTTTGATTTTTAATCCATTCTGTTTGGGGCTAGTGCAGGAGCTTAGTCCAAAACAATAGCCTCCTAAAGTTTAAAAGACTTTAAAGAACAAATATGAGTTTTTCATTACCTAATATTTATTTATATTCATTAATTTATTCAGTTGGTTAAGTCTTGGCTCTCGAGAATCTTTGCTCAGAGGAATTTTTCAATCCTTGGCTATTATTCTCCTTATAGTTATTGTAGTTACCTCCCTGGTGCATTGAAGTCCCTTATGAGTTTTAAATGCTTTCCTGCAGCCACTTGGACGTCAAATGATTGCCATCAGAGCGAGACAACATCAAGAAACCAACAATGATTATGAAACGGTTGACGGCGGCTACATGACTCTGAACCCCAGGGCACCTGCTGAAGACGATAAGAACCTCTACCTGACTCTTCCTTCCAACAACTATGTCAACAGTAATCACTGAGAGTAACGTGGTGCCATGTGGTCACAGTCTCAGCTTGCTGAGTGGATAACGAAAAGAGGGGAATTGTTAAAGCAAAACTGAAATGGAGACTGGAAAAATTCCTGAGCAAACAAAACCACCTGGGCCTTAGAAATAGCTTTAACTTTGCTTAAACTACAAACATAAGCAAAATTCACTGGGGTCATACTAGAAGCATAGTCAAAACTTAACTGTTTATGTTAGAAATAAGACAACCCCAGCCAATTACAAGCAGCCTACTAAGATATAATTATGTGGCTAAGGACTTTCTAACAAGACACCCGCCCCCCCAAACAATTATGTAATTGAAAATCAATTAAATGTCTTTATTGTGCTTCCACATTTTCCCAATAAATACTTGCCTGTGACATTTTGCCACTGGAACACTAAACTTCTTTTGGTTTGGTGTTGCCCAATTCATGAATTGCTCCTTACTCCAATTCATGAATTGCTCCTTACTCAAATTACTTTTTTTTTTTTTTTTTTTTTTGAGACGGAGTTTCGCTCTTGTTACCCAGGCTGGAGTGCAATGGCGCGATCTCAGCTCACCACAACCTCCGCCTCCTGGCTTCAGGCAATTCTCCTGCCTCAGCCTCCTGAGTAGCTGGGATTACAGGCACGAGCCACCATGCCCAGCTAATGTTTTGTATTTTTAGTAGAGACAGGGTTTCACCATGTTGACCAGGATGGTCTCGATCTCCTGACCTCGTGATCCACCCGCCTCGGCCTCCCAAAGTGCTGGGATTACAGGCTTGAGCCACCGCGCCCGGCCTCAAATTACTTTTTAAAAGTATATTGTTCCTCAAATTTTTACTTTAACTTTTTTTTTTTTTGAAACAGTCTTAATCTGTCGCCCAGCTGGAGTTCGGTGGTGCTATCTTGGTTCACTACAAACCCCGCCTCCCAAGTTTAAGTGATTCTTGTGCCTCAGCCTCCCAAGTAGCTGGGATTATAGGCATGTGCCATCATGCCCACCTAATTTTTGTATTTTTTTTTTCAAGTAGAGATAGGGTTTCACCATGTTGGCCAGGATGGTCTCAAACTTCTGGCCTCAAGTGATCTGCCTGCCTTGGCTTCCCAAAGTGCTGGGATGACCAGCATCAGCCACCATGCCTGGCCTCTTAAACATCTTCTTTCCTATGCCCTCTCTGTGGAACCCTACAGCTAGTTTCTGCCTTTTCCAAGCTGAGAACAAAATCACCTATTCACTGTGTATACAGTCCGAAGCTCCAGAAGAACAGCTCAATTACCAGAACCACATTAAGTCTCCACTGTCTTGCCTGGGATTTGAGAAGAGAATTAGAAGAGAATTAGAGAGGTGAGGATTTATTATTTCCTGGATTAAGTTCCCCTTGGGGAAGACGAGGGGTTGCTGCAGTTCCAAAAGAGAAGAACTCTTCCAGAGTCATCTGAGTCCCTGAAGCTCCGTGTCCTGAAAGCCACAGATAATACGGTCCCAGATGACCGAGTGCACCTTCTGCGCCTCAGCCCTCTTGATATCAAGAATCTTCTGTTCCACATCCACATAGCCAATACAATTAATAGATCGTAGCAACATGAGAAATGCTTATGTCGCAGGTTACATGAAAACAATCATGTAAGTCTATATGATTTCAGAAATGTTAAAATAGACTAATCTCTAATAACAAATTGAAAGTGATTGTTTCAAGGTAATGGAATTATTAATGACCTATTTTCTTTCTTTATTTTTTAATAATGATCATATATTATTTTTGTAATAAAACATTATAACCACAACATTCTGTTTACGTTTTCAGGGCTGTGTTGGTTGGGGTATACTGAGCTATCTGGGGTCAGTTTCTTTTCACTGATGAAAATTTTGAGAAGGTAGTAATGGATAGGATGTGGGGGAGAGGAGAGGTGGGGATTTGGAGTGTAGGGTGAGTGCCCCTCTTCCTGAAACTGAATACTCTTCTTCAAATGAACTTGTATTCTTGTCTGCATGTCTTCTTCCCTTTTCTCCTATGGCAAGTAAAACACTCACTTTGTTTTGCAATACAAGTTCTCAGAAAGGCAAACTTCAGATTAGTGGTCAGTGGAGATAGCTGACATGTCCTGCTCTGCTATTTTCCCAGTGTAGTTACCAGATGAATGTAACCTCAGAGACGCCATTCTAGGCTGATTAGAAACATGACCGACAGTTTCCTTGACAGTTTGGTGAGTGCCCTTAAAAAGCCTTCCATTTCCTGGGGACACAACATCATTGCACAAACTTTTTCTTGCATTTGAAATTTAGCAGCTTCCTCTGTTGGATAATTTACACTGATTTTTAAGGAGGCTATGGAGCTTCCACCCACCCTTTAGCTTCCAGACTCTATGAATTAGTCCTTTCTCATGCTGCTATGAAAAAATACCTGAGACTGGGTAATTTATAAGGAAAATAGGGTTAATTGACTCACAGTTCCTCATTGCCGGGGAGGCCTCAGGAAACTTAAAATCATGGCAGAAGGCAAAGGAGAAGCAGGCACCTTCTTCACATGGTGGTTGGACGGAGTGAGTGCGAGCAGGGAAAGTGCTGGACGCTTATAAAACCATAAGCTCTCGTGAGACTCACTCACTATTATGAGAACAGCATGGGGAAAACCACCCACATCATCCAATTGCTTCCACCTGGCCCCACCTTTGGCACGTGGGGATTACAATTTAAGATGAGATTTTGGGTGGAGGCACAGCCAAACTGTATCACCTGGACAGAGACTCCTCAAATATACAAAACCTTAGTAAATCCTGCCTTTACATTAAAATGCCCCCAGCAATCTGACCGCTTCTTGATATTCTACTTCCACCAGCCTGGTCCAGGCCACCGCTATTTATTTCTTACTTGAATTACCACAATAGCGTCCTGACTGGCCTCCCTGCACTCACCCTTGCCCTCCTATAGCCTCTCCTCACCGCAACAGCTGTTGTGATCTTTTAAAATTATGTGTCACATTTGTCACTTCTTTTCTCAAAATCATACATTAATTAGCTTCCCTTTGCAATTGGAGTAAAGGCTAGAGCCTTTGCAATGTTCTACAAGATGCCACAGGACCTTGATGATCTTGCTCTTCACTCTCAGACCTCATCTCCTGCTGCTTTTCCTTGCTTGCTTTGGGTCACTGTTGCTCTTCCTTGAACATGCCAATGATACTTCTGCCCAGAGCCTATTTCATTTCCTATTTCTGGAATGTTCTTTCTCACAGACTCACATCATGCCTCATTATGTCCTATAGGTCTTTACTCACATGTCACCTTATCGGTGAGGTCTCCTTGATCATTTAGTATAACCCATCTCCCCTTCCATACACCTAATGTCCCTTTCCTGCTTTATTTTTCTCCATTGTATTATTAATATATGTTTACCTGTTTGTTTTGTGTCTGACTTCCCTGTTCCTCTCCTTAGAATGTGAGCTCCAGGAGAAGCCTTTGTCTGTTTTGTTCATTACCACATACTCAGAACCCAGGTTAGTGTCTGGTGCATGATAAAGCGCTTAGTAAATATGTGCAGAATGAATAAATTCTTCAATGTTTGAAATCAGAGACTTTTAAACTGGGAACTCCTTAGAAACAATATAGTCCAATATCTTCATTTTAAAATTGAGGAAGCTGTGGCCCAGAGAGGTGAAATTACTTGTTCAAGGACATACAGGTAGTGGATGTCACTGACCTTTATATACATACAGTTTGGATTATATTATAAATTTAGTTCTACAGTGAAATGGTTTGGCTGTGTCTCCACCCAAATCTCATCTTGAATTCCTATGTGTTGTGGGAGGGACCCAGTAGAAGGTAACTGAATCATGGGGCAGATGTTTCCCATGCTGTTCTTGTGATAGTGAGTAAGTCTGATGGGATTTCATGGTTTTAAAAAGGGGACTGTCCCTGCACAAGCTCTCTCTTCTCTTGTTTGCCACCATGTGAGACATGACTTTCACTGTCACCATGACTGTGAGGCCTTCCCAGCCACATGGAACTGTAAGTCCATTAAATCTCTTTCTTTTGTAAATTGCCCAGTCTCTGGTATGTCTTAATTTGCAGTGTGAGAACAGACTAATATATACAGCTTGCTTTTTTTTTGTACTCAATATTGAGTTGTGAGCATTGCATCACTTTACAATGTCTATTTAAGTCATTACTTTAAGGTTGGTTCTACTTTTAAAGCTATTCAAACTAAGCTACTAAACATAAGTGGATATATTTAAGTGTATGTATAAAACTTTTACCAGGCCAGCTTCGGTGGCTCATGCCTATAATCCCAGAGCTTTGGAGGATGGAGGTGGGATTGATTGAGGTCAGGAGTTCAAAGCTGCAGTGAACTGTGATTGCACCACTGTACTCCAGACTAAGGGACAGAGTGAATCAGAAAAAATAAAATAAAATAAAATGAAACAAAAAACTCCAACAATCCTGCAGTGGCTCTTTTGTTTTAAGGAAAACAAACAGAACCAAACTGTACTGCATGCATAAGCACTCCATGCTATGTTTGAACCTCTCTGAAGAGATCAATTAAAAAGCAGTGAATTACATTGGCAGCATGCCTGTATGATGCCATGGTAACAGTCATAGGCTGCATTAGGGCTATAACCGTAATTCTTGGAGGTGAGTGGGTAAGTGCGGTTTTGAGGTGGCTGGGGGCTGGAAGAGAAGGTTGGAGGAGCCCACATTAAGGCAGTCCCTGAACAAGCCAGGGCACAGATCCCCCGGCTGGGCCAACTTTTCCCTGCTGAGGTGAAGACCCGTCTCTTGCAGACTGTTGGCAAACATCTTGACTCTGGCATCCAGGTGTGGCCAACTTTGACACTGAGGGTGAGTGAATTTAAATCTGACAGTTTCTTCCCCTCCTGGAGTTATGAAATCGGTTACTCCTTTTTGAGGACGGTTTGATTTTCCACTGTGGAAGTCATCTATTGCACATTTCTTCAAACATTCCTTTTTTTTCCTGGACTGATCACCTTACCAGTACCGCTGATCTCTCAAGCAGCAAACTCTACCAGCTGTCACTGGTGCTCTTGGACTGACCAAGAAACCCAGCCCAGGAACAGGACTAACCTCTATTTCTGGACTCCTGCCTCCCTCTAATAGGGTCCCTGGAACTTCCTAGTGGGTTCTAACCTGTCAAAAGGAAAAAACAGTCACCTATGGAGTAAGGATTTTTAGTTTCTTGTTTTACAAATGGAAGTTTCCTTTGAATCAAGCAAGTAATGTGAAGTAAAAGCCAACTTTTAATTTTCTCTAATACATTCCTAAATTATAACACCAAAATATACCACACGCTCTTCAGCTGCCAACCATTACAGTTGCCATCCTTGCTACTACAGTGGTGAGCATCTCTGCCTGTCATGTGGGAGAGAGGGGTTTGATTCCCCAACGGGGAGGTGACAGGAAATTGTTTGTG